TACGAAGAATTCAGAATTCCTTTACGAAACACATAAACAGGATATTTATGTGTTAATATCCCCGTACAAAGACCGAATTTGAAGTTAAGGAGTTCAACAATCACTTAAGTGTTCATTTCGCTAAAACATCTTTTTTTTTTTTTTCTTCCCTTCGTAACAGGCTGGTAGAGTGCTTCGAGTTTGACTTCTTGAGAACTCAATGTTTTTGTTATTGCTTTGTGCCTCTTTCGTTCTTTCTTTCTGACTGGTTGTCTTTATGTCTTTTTCTCTGTCTGGCTGTCTTTTTGTTTCTTTGTTTGTCTGGCGAGCTGTCTGTCTCTGTTTTTCTTTCTGTTTGTTTGTTTGGTTTGTTCTCTATGTTTTTTCTCTGTTGTTTGTCAAACTCTCTGTCTGTCGGTCTGTGTGTATGTGTGTGTGTGTGTGCGTGTCTTCCTCTCTCTGTCTGTTTATCTCTCTTTCTCTCTCTGTGTCTCTCTCCCTCTCCCCCCCCCCCCTCTCTCTCTCTTTCTCTTCCTTCCCTCTCCTTCTACACGCACGCACACACACACACACATCACACACACACCCACACACACACACACACACACACACACACACACAAACACACGCACACGCACGCAAGACCCACACAAACCTACACCCCCTCTCCGCATATACAAACACCCCACAAAAAAAAAACTATTTAAACACCGATTCCAACTATTCTCACCCCCCCCTCCCTCCCCCTCCCCCCAAAAAAAAGACACCCAACCCGCCCCCCCCTCCTTACCCCCCCCCCTTTACCTCCAGAACTGGCAACACAGACCCCTACCGAGGCGACCGGGAAACGAGCGAGAAAAAGGACCGATAAAAGCAGACCTAACAGACCATATAATTATAAGTAGGCCTATTGCAGGATAACCGGCTGGTCTCTTCTATTAATGCGAGACCCCGGCACTCTCTCTCCGGCGCCATGCTTCTCTTCTTTTATTTATTTTTTTTTTTTTCGTTCTTTTTTTTTATATTTTGTATTTTTTTTTTTTTTTCTCTTTTTTGCTTTCTTTTTTTTTTTTTTCTTTTCTTTTTCTTCTTTTTTTATTTGTTTTTTTTTTTTTTTTTTTTATCTTTTCTTCTTGTC